CCGTCTTGCCTTATCTTTTATGACCTTAATCCTTTACAAGAGTATCGATCAGTTACTTTGTCAAGTGTCCTCATTTGAGTTTGTCTGATGATGTGTAATATTTTCTCATGATTGGACACGATTGCGTACTTTTCGGGCAAAAGTACCACAGATTCGATGTTATGTCCTTCTCAGTGCATAAGGTTCATGATGTAGAGTAAGTTATTTTCTGGTGTTGTTGACCTTGATTACTTAGTTAAGGGGGTCCCTGCTGGGTTTCTCACCGTAAAACTGCTATGTTTTCCTTTGAGGTTAATCATTCCGTGGAAAGAAACTTTGAGACTAAGAAAAGTATATTTCTTCTCTAATTTTCACCCTCCAAATCTGGCATCAATCAGTAGATTTCATCTGCAACAGTTATGACTGTGGTGTTTGCCTAATGGTGATTTTCTGTTTTCTTCTTTCCCTCTATATTTATTAGCTGAAATTTACTGTAAGAAAAGCTGTTCTTTCTCCCACTTAATAGTATTTATATCAGTATGGACTCGATATTTATTTTATTCTGTGGGTTATTATCCAATACTAGCATTATTTATTTTACTGCTCAAATTTGTAAACAATAATATCTTAAATTGAGAAAATTCTCTATAAGGAAAATACAGAGTCACCCAGTAAACTCAAAGAAAATTCTGATAAATGAAAAATATTTAAATTCTAATTATATATTTTTATGTATTAAAAAATGAAATATTTTCATAGGTACTGTCTTTTTGCCTCCATTTGGATTCTTTATTTTTGCAAAATAAAACTCATCTAATAAGTTCTTTCTATTTATGATTTTTGAATATTTTTCCAAATGTAGATCCATTAAAAGCTTTTTTCATAAATCAAATTTTCCAAGTAAAATTACAGAATTTCAAAATTAAGTGTTTTACACATGAGCTCTCAGTGTTCAATTTTTTTTTTAGCTCATTTCCTGTTTTTATAGGGATAAATTTCAATGTTTTCCTGTTTACAATTTTTGTTTCCAGTAATTGAAATTCATCAAGATTAAAAATCTGAAGTTATTTTTCCCTTTGTTTGTTGAATATCCTAACTAAAGACTTCCGACTGATTTTGAACAAAATGCAATACAATTTCAAAGGTCTTGTTTATAAAAATAGCCCAATGTCATTGTAGGAACTTTGGTTGATTTATAAAGTGGTACTTCAGAGAATTAAACATTTATGAAAACTGATTAATGACCAGCAGCAAAGAGTCTACCATCATGCATAAGATTATTTTTTAATTCATCATCAACTTTATCCTTTAAATATTGTCATTCACTCTCATTTTGTGTATATAAAAGTATGTGTAAATTTTGACTAGTTTCCATTTTGATTAATAAAATATCACAGCTTTATTATACATGCATCACAATCAATTTCAAGTACACTCCTGATCCACAGATTTTTATTTTAATAAAAACATTGTTTTACTCTGATGATGTGCTTCACCAATATTTGTATTCATATTATCATTTGCAGTCACAATATTTAATTTTTAAGTTAAAGTGACAGTAGCATTTATAATAAGGTCAGATTATTCACCTTTGACACAATAAACTTCCAAAAGCTTTTCTTTGGTTCTGTGAATTGGATTTTTAAAAGTCTTAACCATTACTGGAATTAACTGATTTTCTATTTGATTCATCTGCTCACACTGATATAAAACTGTCATCATTTAACTGTTGGCAAAACTATTCTGCTAATTATGTCAACTCCTTAGTAGCCAATGCTTTACATTTCTTTTAGGTGCAAGGAAACTTGGAATTAAAAATGAGTGAAATTAATTTAGGATAGCTCTCGTTTGACCTAAATGAAAAGTCATGCAAAACAGATTGATATTTAAACACACCTTAAACAGCTGCATGCGTTAAATCACTTATTTTGAGCACAGTCTTTTTAAAATAATGACTAACTTTTGACATAGATGTTGCTGCTTCTTCAGTGGATTTCTGACTGCTGGCTGTCTTATGTCTTATGTGGCTGTCTATGGTGGATGGTAAGTATTTTGTATGTTATACGTTCATCATCAACTTTCTTAAGAAACAGAAAATCAGTTATTTATATTAAACATGAATATGCTAAATCCTTGCTTCTGAAAGGTTTTATTGCAAAATAAAATAAGCATACCAAGCAATAAAAAAGAATTGCATTGTAGATTTATACCTACAATAGGTAACCAAACTCTATAGAAAGAGCATCCGATGCTCTGTACCAGGGCTGCTCAGCCACTATTTCCCATACATATTTTCCTTACATCTAATCTATAGTTGATGTCCCATTAATCCCATTGACTAGCATCTTGGTGCTTCATGCCTGTCACAGGTCATGGCATGGGCCGTGACACACCAGCTGTTGCACCCAATGGATGGCAGGATCTGCAGCATCAAATACCTCTCCCACCCCCAAAACAGGAAGGAGTTAGCTGTTCCTCGCTACTTATGTCCAAACGTCATCATTTTATCAGCCAGTGCCCGGCACGTGGCACTTCAAAGGAAAATGTAAGTTTCCTTGACACTAGAAAAGATCAGGAAAAAAGAGATGAGCTGTGATGCTGAGTTTACCCTGTGTAAACTCTGAACTCTGTTGACTACACATGCCTCTGACACCCTACTAAAAGACACTGCCTCGAGAATTGAAGTATGATGTAGAGGTCTTATAAAATATCTTGTGCTGCAACTAATAATAATGGTACCTTTTTAAAAAGGAAAAATCTAGGACAAATGTTACACTACAACGAATACTTCAGCAATTGGCTAAAACCAGTCTGTTCTGGATGAACCAGGATGCATGGTCATCCTAAACCTGGACTTGTCTTTGACTTAAAAAGGAAAAATCTAGGACAAATGTTACACTACAACGAATACTTCAGCAATTGGCTAAAAACAGTCTGTTCTGGATGAACCAGGATGCATGGTCATCCTAAACCTGGACTTGTCTTTGACTCCAACACATGAACAACCCCCTAAATCTCGTTTATGATTTCTTATACTTTTTCTTGAAACGATTGCTTGTTTTCTATTCTACTGTATCTGCCTTAGCCTAAAGTCTTGCTAACACATGCTTGTAAGATTTATAGCAGCCTATTTACTGGTCTAGGACTCAATTTTTCCTTCTATTTCTTATCTTCACACCTACTGCATTTTTCTTTCTCCAGAAATTTTGTGTCTGAGAGAAACTTTGTGAGACTTTGTGTCTCATACCTTTGCTGAAAAATCTTTTAATGGCTTCTTGTTACCCATACAGCAAATTACAGACTTTGATTTCAAGTATAGTCAGTCCCTATTCTGTGCTTCCAGACTCATCTCTCACTCTCCCCTGGCATGAATCCTTTAGTCACCATTTCCTAAACATGCTTGGCATTTAGCATTTGCTGTTCATGCTGTTACTTCCATTTAGAATCTTCTCCACAACCCAAACCCTACTTGTAGAAATCTTACCTGGGTAAGTATCTTTAAGCTCAAGTATCATCTTCAAGAATCCTTTGATTTCCATCTAGAAATGTTTACTTTATCTTCTGAAGTTCTGCAGTAGTGTAGGAACTACTCTGATGGTGTATTATACATGTACTTTCAATTCAGGGAGCTGTTTGATTGCAAGTTCTTGAAGGACAGAGACGATCTCTTTTGTCTTTTGATACCCAACAATGCCATACAGCACCTTATTCTTTGAGTATGCTCTATTTCATAACTATTCACTGATTGAATTTGGAAATGAATGGCCAATGAATCCATACTCAGGTCGTAATGAATATAGTCCTTCTTTTAGAAAATATTTTTACAATGTATTGGGAACACCTAATCACAAGGAAAAATTGAATTTAAACCTGTCTGTGGCGAAATATTTTTGACTGGGCTGGACTTTCAGTTTGCAAAAACACTGCAAGTACCCAAGTCATTTCTTTCACTATTCTATAAGATCAGCCTTGCTTATTAAGCTGTGCCACCATAAATACAAACAAGACCAATTTTATGCTATTTGTATAACCCCAACAAATAAGTGGTAACAAATAAAGACATAAACAGTAAATATATAAGGTGTTTGTTTTTGTCTATGCATGTGTCTCAAAGAAAGGATCCACATAAAACTGCTAACAGTGGTTACTTGTGGGGAAGACAGTGGCATTGGAGGGGTGTGTGAAAAGGACTTTTACTGTTATTCTATGTACTCCTGAATTATTTTCATATTTTTGTAATATGCATATATTGTATGTTATGTGTGAAATAGAAAAATGATAATTTTTTACAAAGAATTCTTAGCCTACATGGCACTATGGGTATAATATCTTAGATGTACAAGCTGCCTTCAAGGAATTCACAACACAGTATTCCCTTTCAAGTTCCCAAGAAATGGAGAGAATAAAAATTTGGCCCAACACTTTTCAAATTATTTTCTCTGTTGTTATTTTTAAAAATGTTACCAGAGTAAAAAAATAAACATATCTATGACTGAGAGTAAAACAGTCTATTTGGAAAGCAATAATATAGAAAAAAAAAGGAAAAGCATGGAAAAAGTGGAACTTGTGTAAGTTTTTTATAAATCACATAAACTAGTTTTGTAAAAAAATTACTATATAAAAATCAATCGATTCATAGGCATAAGATCTGAAAAACATTGTGACTGAAATCAGTAAAGCTACTAAAATATTTAAATAATTAATTGTTTAAAGATCATGTAAGTCTTAGCCATAAAACAAAATGAAAGAACATCTGGAATGCAAAGAGGTTGAATGAAAGATTGGAAATTAAAAAGCAAATGGTGTGCTTAGTGCTACTAAGGGACTTCAGCAAATGGATATAAACCCATTTGAAAATAAATACAGAGTTTGTGTAATTACAATGAGCCTGAAGATGGGTTTAGCATTTATTTATCTCCTGGGAAGCTTGGTGAGTCAGAAACATAAAATCAAAGCTAAGGGAGGCTATTAAAATATTATTTCCTGTTGTAGTGTAGAATTCAAGGAGAGAATAAACATACCGATTACTTGCATGGCTGGTTCCACGTCTGTTGTGGCCTCTTCCAGCAGCGACAGCAGCTTGGCTGATATCTGATGCACAGATTCAATGTTGCTAAACAAGCTATCCACGTCCAGCCTATCAATCTGAAGAAACACAAACATTGAGCACCAGCTGACAGAAAGAGAAGCTCTGTATTTAGGATGTTTTCTCCTGCTAAACAGTAAAGCACTTTCTGTGCCAGCCCATGCTACCTCCATCAATTGTTTCTGTAAATATTCTTATTTAGGATTTCTAAAGTAAATGTGCAGTTTTTCATTTAGGAAATTGAGATGGTGCTTCTGTTACCTCTGTCATTTTCATCCTTTTGAATATATTTTTAATCCATCTACATATTCTTATAAAAACAAGAGTGGGAAGAGATTTGGGCCTACTTGGTATTTTTATTAACTGCCCTCTATGAAAGTATGTAGTAGTGTCTATGAATTTAGAATATTTTGCTGCTTATACAGCAAAAGTTAGACCTGATTTTAGGCAAGTAGCTATTTTCAAACCTGTTTTTAAACCACTGATATTCTCAAAGTGATGACACAATATGCTGGGTTGCTTCTTGGTTTTTTTTTTTTTTGGTGAAAGAAATATGAATGGAAATCTTCAATGGACATATTCTACTAATTAGGGATTTATCATATTTTGTAATTTCATGCATACCCTCAAAAACCAATACAATCATTCTTAGATCTTATAGCTGGTTCTTATAATTATTTATTCATTCATCCATCATTTTATCAGGTATTTCCTGAGCACCTTCTATGTACCAAAATTGTCATAGAAGCCAAACTCTGTCATAGGTAGTGGGTGATTAGTAGAGGGATAGCCAATTATCCTCAGCTATCTGAGTATGGTGAGATACACACTCTGATTTTGTTGGGTCTTATTCAAAATCTTTCCCTTCAGTTTAAGTTAGATCTCCTTTCATAATCAAATAGTGTCCAGTTAGGAACAACCACATCCCTACAGCAGGGAACAGAAGTAGATACTATTTACCCATGACGTATTGTGCATGAGGTCATATGTGGATAACTAAGCCTTCAATAATCAAGTCGTGGAGGAACTTCAAAGATGAAAAACAGAGTTGCTGGCCCAAAACCAGATCAGCAAAATTAGAGGCAAGAGAGTGACAGAAAGTCCAGTTAAGGAAAAAGGGCCAAGAAATTAAGGGAAAATAGGACAAGGAATGTAAGACAAGAAGCAGACCTGGAGGAATTCTGGAGATGAAGACTAATGACTGCAGCTTCTTTCCTATGCTTTCAGAATCAATTTCTTTAGGTGTGCTAGGTCTATTTAAGAGGTAGAAGGGAGAAAAAGCAGCATGCTTGTCTTTTTATTCCATCCTCTTTTGATGTTGGCCCATATGTTGTTCCCGATATTGAATACAGATACTGTTTTGGTGAGGATATTTTGTCATTGATCTTGGAAGCATGACCTCACATTGCACCTTTTAAAAATGTGGACAGGTGGCCAGTTATCTCAGTTGGTTAGAGCATGGTGTTATAACACCAAAGACAAGGGTTCGGATCCCCATACCAGCCAGCCACCAAAAAAATAAATAAGTAGGATAAAATGTGGTGACTGTGTCGGGTATTTCCTATGCAGTATGGTCTTGCTAAATGTTATGCGCAACATTTCTTTCAGCCATCTTGGGAAATTTCTCACTTTCCTATCGTTAGTCTCATCCTCAGGATAACTCCTAGCCTCATTTGTAATCAAGTCCATATGATTGTATATAGCGGCTTATTTCAGAATAGGATCAGACGATTTTTTTTATTTTTACTGTTTTTATGTATTCTGAAATTATATCTCCATACTAATTATTACATTGCAATAAATTTTGGCTCTCAGGGTCTTTAATCCAGTGTTTCACAAAATGTTCCTTTATTAAGCATTCCTTTAAAAGAAGGGGGTACATGTGGCTCTTTTGCCTGAAATCTAGGGATATTCAAGACTTCCAATTTCTATATTAAAAAGCATATTTAATTTTATGCAAAATATCTAAAAGTCATATTATGGTTATAAGGCTCTTTTTGTCAATTATCACTTAATGATAATTAAATTATCATTAATTAATCAACTTATGAAATTATCATTTGATGATAATTTATCATTATCAATGGCTCAAAACTCACATATCTCTGAGTATCACTGATTTAACGTATCCCTTATTCTAAAGAATTGCCTTATGTGTTGGATGTTAATTAAATACACAAAGGTGGAATTTTACATAGTGCAAGATATATTTTCCAAAAGTTGTGTATGAATCAAAGTTTTGTAGTTTTGTACTGGTTGTATATTTCTGCAAATCGATTTTGAAATGAATCTTTCTAAAATGTGAAGTTTCATACCCTAATTTACTTTGCTTTATAAGATAAATGATTAAATGTAATTTATAGGAATTATTGTCATTATTAATTATTATAATAATTATTATTTCATTTTGTTGTGGAAACTTTATTCTGAGGAACTCGAAGTGCTTCATATTTATTATCTCATATATCACTCCAACTTCTCTCTTTTATGAACCAGTTTGAAGATAGGGAAACTAATGCAGAATGAAAAGAGGTACCATGCTCAAACTTATGCAAGAAGTTCAGGACAGAGCTCGAACCAGAAATTGACCTTTTAGTCCTATGCCTCAGTCCGTTACCAACAAATATTAATAATAGAGTTCTTTGCCATCTCTTTTTGGATTTTTTGGTTTGTTCTTGAGTTTTTTACCAAGTTGTCATTTCTACAATTTCCCAAGGTCAGTATCCTGAATATCTGTCTAATTTAGATTATTAATCCATTTAGCAAGGATTTAATTCTACATTCTATCTATAATCATAGCTCAGTGCAAAAAATATTAAATAACAAAAACATAGTCTTTAATTCCATTTCTTCCTGAAGGACAGAAAGGATTAAAACATCAATTGGCCTGCTTTCAATCACCCACATCACCATGAGCCCATGGGGATTCTGTAAATCATAAAATGAATTCACATTCAGTCACTGCTATGCCAGGGAACAAACAAATGCCTGATCCAAATAGGCTTTTAAAACTTACAGATGATTTTATGATTACTGATATAAATTCAAGGAAGCATCTATGTATTTATTAATCATTTACTAGAAACAGGCAATGCTCTAAGAGCTTAAATTAAATTGTATTTTAAATGAATTAAAATTCATTTTTTAAAAAAAGATAGTCTAAGTTTTTACTATTTTAAGCCAAGTCAATAAATTCAAACTTACAAAACATAAAAATTAAAGGTCAATGTTTCCATTGACAATTTAATTTGTTGCTTTACAAAAGTATCCATCACAGGCTATCATACTTCAAATAGGAAGTTCCCATTACATTTAAGTAATTACTAGAATTTGAAATCAGGTAGGGTAATGCCTTCAGTTTTGTTCTGTTTACTCAGGATTGCTTTGGCTATTTGGGGTCTTTCATAGTTTCATACAAATTTTAGGATTGTTTTTTATTTCTGTCAAAAATGTCATTGGAATTTTGATAAGGATTGCATTGAATCTGTAGATTGCTTTGGGTAGTATAGACATTTTAACATTAATTCTTCCAATCCATGATCACATGATATCTTTCCATTTATCTGTGTCTTCTTCAAATTATTTCATCAATGCTTTATAGTTTTCAGCAATTTCAAAATCTACTACAAAGCTGTAGTAATCAAAAAGTATGATACTGGAATAGTAACAGACATATACAACAATGGAACAGAATAGAGAGCCCAGAAATAAATCCACACGTTTAAGGTCAATCAATTTTTGATAAAGATGCCAAGAACTCACAATGGAAAGGACAGTTTTTCTTCAATAAATGGTGCTGGAAAAACTGGCTAAATCAAATTAGACCCTCATCTCACCATTTACAAAAATTAACTCAAAATGGATTAAAGACTTTAACGTTAAGACCAGATACTGTATAACTGCCAGAAGAAAAACATACGGGAAAATCTCCATGACATTGATCTGAGCAGTGGTTTTTTTTGGACATGACCTGAAAACATAGGCAATAAAATCAAAAATAAACAAAATTATGTCAAACTAAAAAGCTTCTGCACATCAAAAGAAATAATCATCAGAGTGAAGAGACAACCTAAAGAACGGGAGAAAATATTTGCAAACAATATATCTGATAAAGGGTTAATAGCCAAAATATATAAGAAATTCAAACAACTCAATAGCAAGAAAACAAAACAACACACAAACAATATATCTGATAAAGGGTTAATAGCCAAAATATATAAGAAATTCAAACAACTCAATAGCAAGAAAACAAAACAACACAATTAAAAAATGGACAAAGACCTGAATAGACATTTCTCAAAAAAAGACACACAAATGGCCAAGTACATGAATTAAAAAATGGACAAAGACCTGAATAGACATTTCTCAAAAAAAGACACACAAATGGCCAACAAGTACATAAAAATGTGCTCAACATCACTAACCATCAGAGAAATGCAAATTAAAATCACTATGAAATATGACCTCACACCTGTTAGAATGGCAACTATCAAAAAGACGAAAGATAACAAATGCTAGACAGGATTTGGAAAAAAGACTTTTACACTGTTGGTAGGAATGTAAATTAGTACAGCCATTATAGAAAACAGTATGGCATTTCTTTAAAAAAATTAAAAATAAAACTACCATGTGATCTAGCAATACCACTACTGGGTATATATCCAAAGGAAATGAAATCGCTATGTCAAACAGATGTCTGCAGTGCCATGTTCATTGCAACATCATCACAATAGCCAAGTTATGGACTCAACCTAAGTGTCCCTCAATGGATGAATGGGTAAAGAAAATGTTTATATACATATATATGTACATATGCAATGGAATACTATTCAGCCTTACAGCAGAAGGAAATTCTGTCATTTGTGACTACATGGATGAACCTGGAGGACAGTATGTTAAGTAAAATAAGCCAGGCACAGAAAGACAAATACCACATGATCTCACTTACATGTGGAGTGTAAAAAAGTCAAACTTACAGAAATAGAGAGTAGGATGGAAGATGGCGACAGGTCTGGAGCGGCCGTGCCAGGAGACAGCGCGATCCTGAGAGCTGTG